CGCTTTTTGCCCGAGGTCGTTCGATTTGATGGCTGGAGAAGAGACATAATGCAAGATCTACGCTTGGAAACAATAAAACATGCGAAGGAAGAGAGTATAGTAAACAATGATGATCTAACAATGAACTGCGAAACGAGTTTGTACATCGTCCAGGTTTGTCGTACGTGTATAGACAGTGTCGAAGGACAAAGTGTCAAAGGGCAAAATGATGAATGGACAAAGTATAGAAGGGACAAAGTACCGAACGGAAAAAAAAAAGAAAGAGTTGAACTGACTAAATGACGAATGCTTAGAAATGTGCCTAAAATAACATCTTCTACTTAAAATGCAAATATCCTGTCGGTAAATAATTATGAAATATATTAAATTTTTAAAGTTATTATTACTAAATTATGTCAAAGCAAAGCAATAAAAAGTTTAGAATAGCTTAATTGATTATATGAACCGAGTATTTAAAATCATGACGATTTTACATTGTTCAACATTATGTCCTTTTGAAATTTTACTTAGTTTATCTCTTTTTCTGTTCGGATCATTTGTCCATTCGACACTTTGTCTGTTTGACATTATGTCCATTCATCATTTAGTCAGTTCAACACTTTCTGTTCAGTTATTTGTCCATTCGATACACCGTTATCTTGGTATTAGTTATACAAACACATTTAAGTATATAACTATATAAAACTATTGAATAACACACACACATATATACAACACTACATAAAACTGTAAACTTGGAAGAAATTGAAGACTGAATACAAGAAGTTATGACTTCGATACCACAGGAATTCCTGGTGAAATCAGTTGACGCGATTCCTGGGTGGCTCGAGAAGCTGGTAGCAAAATCTGGTGTCCATATTGAATTTTAAATAAAACCTCATGCTAAAGGCTTTCCTCTCATATATATTGCTTGTAAAAATTATAGTTAATGAATAAATTATAATTATTTTAAAATGAGAAGTTACTTTTCAATCACCCTGTATATAAGAAGTCTCTCAATTCTATTAGATAAAAAATAGAAAGTAATAAACACCCCCCACTAATCGGACGACTAACTGATAATTATGGAGGCTTAATAACTTTTAAAGCTATTATTTATTAAATGATGCCAAAGCTAAGGAATAATTTATTTGAACAGAGTTTTTAAAATCATGACGATATGTTTCTTTTTACTTTGTTCAACATTTTGTCATTTTGAAACTTTGACTTCTTGACATTATGTCCATTCGTCACTTTTTCTATTCGGCTCATTTGTCCATTCGACACTGTTTGACACTTTGTCCATTCGTCATTTTGTCCTTCCATACTCTGACCTATTAACTTGTTTTAAGATTTATTATTGACTCTTAGTAAAGTTAGCTTAGTCTGTCACAATGCCAAATGTATGGGAGTACATCGGGAACTGTCATAACGATCTGCCAGACTCGCCATTAAAAAAACAAAACAAAAACAAACAAACAAAACCCCAAAAGACCAAAAAACAAAAAAAAAAAAAAAAGAAAACAAAAAAAAACGAGCAATTAAATAACAGAGAATATCTACTAGAAAATATATATGAAGTCTGTCCGAAAAATATCCTAACATGAATTGTTAATGACAGAAATGGCCTGCCTAGAGCAATGACGGCTGAGTCATCTTCAAAATACTCTTTTTGGGACCTCATAAACTTATGCCAGCGTCTCTCTTAGTTTTGAAAATTTAGCAAAGCCTTCTTTCGGGATTGCCACCAACTGCACCATTGCGTTCTCATTATGTCTTTCAACAGCGACAAAAGGCACGGGGGGGGTGCTAGACCTGTAATTCATTGGGTAGCGACCGGATTTTGATATTTTGATTTTGCGATGTTCTATATATATATATATATATATATATATATATATATATATATATATATTAACTCATCAGGAAATATAAATAATCTGTGCATTCGGTAAAAGCGACAGTCACAGTGACGCCTAATGTCGGCTTAATAACTCTACGGGAGAGTGTTTATTTACAGATACGACACACGGTTTTCTTTGGTTAGTTGCCTAATTACATAAAGGAATATTCAAAACGAGTGGGGAGAGAGAGAGAGAGAGAGAGAGAGAGAGAAAAGAAAAAGAAAGAAAGAAAGAAAGAAAAAGGGAGAGAGTGAGATCATATATTAGGTTGAGTAATAAATAATTATGTCAAGTTTATTCATCAAAAAATAAATTACAATTACATTTTATTCACTTATATTTTCGTCATTACTTGAAAGCCTCTCCATCGAGTGGTATCTAAGCTATCTCCTGTGGAGGGCTCTTGATTGGGCTTTCATCACAATAGCTAGGGAGGATTAGATACAGAACTCAGAATTGATCGCTGCATTTAAGTATTGCATTAATATTTAAGCTTATCTTTTAAAAGTTCATCGATAATTCTTCTGCCACCACTTAATTTAAAGACAATTTGATGCATGTAGGTCCTTACTTTTCGTATAAAGAATTATTTTTCTTTCATGTGTAATTTTAACTGGATTTCGCAATTAATTTTGATTATTCCCAAGTTTAGTTCCAAGTTATAAAAATTTGTTATCGTACAAAAAATTTCGTCACAAAAAATCACGTAAAAAAAATCGCCGAAAACAAACGCAGTAATGAATTTGAAGGAATTCAAAATTTCAGAAATGCAGGTCCAGGTCCGATACGGAATTATTTTTTAATTTGCTCACGGAATCGGCCTGATTCCAAAAATGGTATAATATGTTGGGCTACGGTCTCCAGGAATAAAGTTGAAAACACGGAGAATTTTATTTTGAAAAACTGTAATTTAATAACAGTATATTTTTTTTAAATGAGCTATGTGTCAGAAACCCTCTCACAGAAATCCTCTCACAGAAACCCTCTCACGGAAACCCTGTGTCAGAAGCCCTCTCACAGACGCACACAAGAAAAGGTTGAGGAATTAACCAATGATTCTATCCATTATTTCACGGTGTGGTACTAAATATTTTTTCATGTAATAAATTTTCTTTGTTTCGTGACTCTTCAGGTCGTGGGCAATCATGGCTCTCCAAAACTTCCTATTAAGTAAGGTTTATCTTTTCCTGGACACTTCCAGTCTCTGATCTGACATCAATTTATACAAGCTTATTAGGAGACACTGTGGAGCAATATATAGCGGCTCGGATTGAGGAATAAGATTGCTGAGTACAAACTCCAAACCAGTGGTAATACCCTTGGTGAAAGGTATGAAAGGTATATTTTCTCCTCCTAACTATAGGTAAATAGTAGAAAACATTGGGTCATATAGCCTTGAGTGGCAACCGGTCTAGGAGAAGGAACAAGTGTGAATTCAAAACCAGCCTGGAGAGGGATGGGCCCCGTCAGGTTATCTTTGCCAGGAAACACCACTAGATGTAGTGCTCCTTAAACCCGGATAGTTTACGAGTATCGTAATCGTGATTAAGGAGGTAACTCGCTATTATCCTCTGTTCCTCTTACTTTCAATCTGTCCTGTGAGTGTCAACTTTTCTATGTCCTCTTTCCTCATTATGTACCCTAGAAATTTGAATTATTTCTTTTTGATTCTATTATTCGTCCTTTTTTTTTAAATTCCATTTTCTTTAAAACTTCGTCGTTGTTCACATGCTCAGTCTACGCTATTCTCAGCATCCTTCTGTAGAACCACATCTCTGTTGCCTCAAGTCTCTTCTTAATCCGTGAGGAAATTGTCTGTCATACCACATAGCACCGATATTAGGTAACACTTCAGCACGCTGTTCTTTGTTTTTGACCAAATTTTCCTGTTTCTTAATAAGAGTGCTCCAATAACTTGGACCGATTTTAATGTGAATTAAGTTTAAGCGTCTTTTTCTTTTGCTTTCAAATTTAACAACTTAAGTTCTTGGCAATTTCAACCATGGAAAGATTAACAATTAAACACCATGTTAAAGTTATCGAAGCCTATTACGAAAATGGACGTTCAAACAGAATTTAAATAAGAAGATCCCAGGTCGCATCATCTCTCGAAAGAGCGAAGTCAATTGGCCACCAAGATTGTGCGACTTGACGCCTTTAGATTTCTTCCTTTGGGGTCATCTCAAAAGTAAGGTCTATGCCAACAAGCTAACAATTCAAAAGCTGAAGGATGAGATAATAAGGCATATTAGTGAGATCAAGGAGCAACTATGCAGAGACGTCATCAAAAATTTTGACCATCGAGTTGAGGTGTGCCGTCGAAACATTGGTGAATATTTAGGCGATATTATTTTTCATACATAATTGCCATGACTTAAATAACATGATCCAATAGAGAAATAAATATATTTGCACCAATAACAACGATTTATTTACTTCTGACTTTGATCCGTCTTAATGAAACACCGTTATATATAATCATTCTTAATGAAACACATTTTATTTTGCTTAGCGTTTGAAATATGTCTTTTGCTATTCCAATACATTTTCGAATTTAGACGTGACATTCCTCGTCCTTTACTAAAACACCTCTTATATATCGTATAAATTTTCATACTTGCTTGATTTTGGTATCTGTGTTTTGTAGCCTGCCTCTTAGGTTGTTCTTGTTGACGGCCATTGATTATGTCTTCTTACAATTGATGCTTAGTCCTTTCTTCTCAAATTCCTTTAATGTCTTTTCTAAGAGTTCCTTCAGTTTATTTTCTGCGTCTGATGTAATCTAAACAAAGCTAAAAATAGTGTCAAAGAAATAGACATCGTGCTTATCGGCCCGACAGACAGACTCGTATTTATTTACTGAGGAAATCACGTCCACAGTATTTTAAATGTTAACGAATGTATTTGGGTGAAAAAGATTACATAGCGGAAGATTCTAGAAGAAGACCAAGTTTATTTAATTCGTTTATATCTTCTTTTTTTTTAAACTTCTGTTTCAAATTTAGAAACACATTTCAAAATTTCTTACTCCTCCAGATCTTACATCTTTTTCATCTTTTTGCTTTGCTTCTTCGTCTTTATGTAATTACCAACGTTTTTCTTTCTTCTTTTCCTTGCTTACGGCCATATCACGTTGAAAAACCAGTTCCCGTACAATCACTGAAGTTAAGCAACCTCGAGCCTGGTCAGTAGATGAATGATCGCTTGGGAATACCAGGTGAAATAAGCTTGTATGCGTGGGTGGTGTAAAGGATAACATCTCAGAATTGTTAATCGGAGAGACACCACGTGCTTCCCAGGACTCCGACGTATCTTCAATTTTCAACAGAATTTTCTTTGACTTTTTCGCTCTTATGTCCCATAATACGAAACTATATACAAATCTCCTTAATCCTTTATTACACGAATAGGATTTAACCATAAATCCGATTAATATACAGCTACTAATAATATTTAAAGAAACCTTTATTATAAGTGTTTGTATTGTATGTGTTAAAAAGTTATATTTAAATTACTAATAAATAAGTGAAAAAGAACATTAAAAAATAATTGATAAGTAAGTCACTATCACCACAATCATCACCACCGCCAACATCACCACAACTACCACCATTATTATTATTATTATTACTATTATTCCTCTTTGTTTTTCTTTCTTCTTTTTTATTATCAGTAATAAGACTCTAAACTGTTCAATGTTCTACCCGAATCAGGTAAAAAATCTTTACGTCAAAAATTAATAAAATTAGTATGTACCGATTACTTATCAAGCATATCAACAAGTAATATAACTTAATAACAAGTCTCTAATTATTATTTAATCTAATCTAATCTTCTTCTTTTTCTTCTTCTTCTTCTTATCATCATAATTATTATTATTATTATTTTTATTTTCTTTGATTTCTGGCGTTTACACATTGCTTTCCGGGTCCCGTCCAGGGACCTAAGGTTAGAAATGGCATCATGACACTTTCCAATGACAAAAAAAAAAAAAAATATTATTATTATTATTATTATTGTTATTATTATTACTTTTAATTTTATCTCCTCTTACTTGCCGATAAATTTTAATTGTGGCTGGCGGAAGATAGGCAAAAAAAAAAAAAAAATGTTTACAGTTACTTTATTCAAACTTTTTTCCAATAAATACGTAAACAATTCGGAAAAATAATTTTCACGATTTAAAAAAAAATCTTTTATATTGCTCGAATATGTTTTGTCATTAACTAATGCAAAAAGGGTTGATAAGCAATAAAAAAAACAAATCAGTCAAACGACACAATTTTTACTTCTTTCTTTCTTTCTTTCTTTTTACTCATTTTATCCTCTTTCTCCTCCCCCTCTAATCTTTCTTCACATTATATCCTTTTATAACTCCAGTTCGTAATCATTGTCACTTCATTATGGCTTTCTAAATCCAGCTATTGAAGAAGTCCTGACAACTGGAACACTACAATTCACGTACTAGGCTGGGTAGTCAACGAATTTTTTTAAAAACGTAAACTATGAATAAACCAAAAGAACGACCCGTTTGTCTTTAATAATGTGAAACCCTTACGACACAAAAAAGTCGGACGCCTCAAGAAGGCTATGGAATGAATGACGGTGTCCAGAGCCTCCGCGACGAATACACACACATACACACACATATATATATATATATATATATATATGATTGTGTGTGTGTAAATAATATATATATATATATAACATGTGTGTGTGTGGAATGAGTGACGGTGTCCAGAGCCTCCGCGACGAATACACACACACACACACACACACACACACACACACACATATATATATATATATATATGTGTGTGTATGCGTATTCGTCGCGGAGGCTCTGGACACCGTCACTCATTCCATAGCCTTTTATATATATATATATATATATATATATATATATGTAAGTAAAGAGAAAAAGAATTTGGAAAAAGGGCCGTTATTTTGAGGTGAAAGTTGATAAGAACGGTGAGTTGTTATTTTTATTTCTATCCGCAAAATTCGGCAGGCGAAATGGACGGAAACTCAAGGTGAAGGACTGTTTATTGCATTCGGTCTGATTTTTTTTTTCTGCAGGAATTTTATGTTTAGACGACCCTTCCCTATCCGGCTTCTTGTCTCGACTCTGTTTAGGCAATCTCAGATGTGTAGGTTGTTGTTAATACAGTGTAGGAAAAAGATCTCACGTTGTCAAGAGAGTCGCCCTGGGTTTAACGGATAGCAGAGAACAGAACCTTATTTTCACGATCCCGAGCCAAGAATTCGGGGAAGATGATCTTTGTGGGTGTGAACAACTGATAAATCTTCTAAAGAAAGGATGAGGCAAATTTGGAATTTTACATTCTGCGAATAGTGACTCATATAGTCAATATTATAATAATCCATTCACGTGGGTGTGCTTGTTTGCTACCGAAAAAAAATAAATCACTAAAATTGTCCAAAAAGTAGAAACAGACAAAACAAAAATTATAAAAAAGCGAGCGTATTTTTTGTTAAGAAAAAACGGCACGTAGTAGCGAGATAGTTGCTAGAGTAATATACTTAAAAATTATAACTTAAAAAATAGATAATTTTCTAGTCTCATTTACAACTTAATAATATTTACATTATTTAAATATGGGACTACTGTCTTCATTATTGTTGTTGTCATCACGGCCGTTGTGTAGTACGTGAATTTGGCGTCATGGTGATTGTGAGTAAAACTTCTGGGTCGGGAAGTGGGTATTTGGGAGGAATTCAGAATTCTAATCAAAAGAACGCGGAAATTCATGACATTGTAGAAATCTTACACCTCAATGATGTTTTCAATAGAATTTATGTGAAGAAGTAACAGAGAGAGAGAGAGAGAGAGAGAGAGAGAGAGAGAGAGAGAGAGAGAGAGAGAGAGAGAGAGAGAGAGAGAGGGAGAGAGCGAGAAAAATACAATAACATTAAAGTAGGTATATTCCTGAGATCCATAAAAAATAGCATGGCATGAATAAAAAAAGCCTTAAACTTGATGAAAATAATTTTTTATCTTCTAAATGTTTATGTTATTATCAAGAGGAAAAATCAAAATATTTTTTGATTAGTTTTTTTTCATTTTTTTAATAATTTCTAGCACGTTCAAAATTTTCGTTAAAAATCTTGTATTTTTTGAATCACCAAAATTGACAGAAAATCGACTGTCAGCCATTGTTTTAACTTTTGTTTACAAAAGTGAAAGTTTCCGTTTAAAACTCTTACGATAATAAAACAAATATGAGAACACTACCAGATAGTTAAGTTTCTGTAGCTGGTTGATTTTGATGACCCCAGTATGTAAGTTACATATTAAGCTGTCTCTTTTGCTGACAATCATGCATTCTATCTTTTAATTGTTAAAAGTTAGTCCTTTCTTCTTGCTTTCTTTTACAACATTGTTATCTCAGTTTTTCGTCTGTGATTGTCATCAACGCAGTATTTTATGTTGTTAAGATTATTATAATAGTGTATTTTAGCAATGCAACTTGTCAGACGATGACCGGTCTTTGCTTATTATATACATGTGTGTTTGAGAAGGGGCAAGAGACTTAAGGCGTATACACTATCAATCAAATGTTTGGGACACCCTGAAGTGTTTCTCTAAGTTCATAAAATGTACAAATTTTGCATATTTGGATAGACTCACCTATTGGTGTATATATATATATATATATATATATATATATATATATATATATATATATATATATATATATATATATATATAGTAGGTGAGTCTATCCAAATATGCAAAATTTGTATAATATAAGATATATATATATATGCAAATCTTTATATAAAATTCAAGCAAATCTTCTACAAGCATTATAAATTTATTTGCATAAGTTTTGAAAATTTTGTTACAATCTGATACATTTTTCTGAACTGAAGAGAAGAAATTTACAAATAGTTCAACTTGGTAAAGGTTCAATCGCAACTAAATTAATGTGATTGAAATTAAATTTCAGAAACCGTTAAAATTCCAAGAACCAAACAGATTAGTATTGAAAAAAAGAAATTCTTCCTATAGAAGTGTATTCCAAATATCAGATTGCTAGAAAATTACAGAATCTTTGTTTAAAAGAAAATATAAATTTGCTTTAACTGAAATTATAATTATTTTATATTAATTTTGATTTTAATTATTGCATAATTGCATGCAAGCATAGAAAAATAAATTTGTTTATTTAAAGACATGAAATTTGATTAATTTTCTTTTTTAAATTTAGAGGAAAAAATTAATGTGATCCCAAACCTTTGGTCGGTAGTGTGCGTGTGTGTGTGTGTGTAAAATATATATTAAATGGGTTATAACTGATCTAATTTTACCGTTTCATCATTAATACTCTACCGTTATTCCTCTCATCGGTATTATTATTATTTTTATTTTCTTTGATTTCTGGCGTTTACGCATTGCTTTCCGGGTCCCGCCTAGGGACCTAAGGTTAGAAATGGCATCATGACACTTTCCACTGACAAAAAAAAAAAAAAAAAAAATATTACATAGATAAAGCCTTTCGTAAAGTGTGGGCTGTACTTGTCAGAACAATTTTTTGTATCTCCTTGAGGCATGGACTTCCAGGAATCCCTTCATTTAGTCTACTGGAATCTTTTCCAAACAATCCTAGAGCTCCAACTACAACAGAGATTGTTGATGTTCCCATATGCCACATTTCCGAGATTTCTATTTCAAGGTCCTTGTATTTTGACAGCTTTTTGAATATCTTCAAAGATACATTGCAGTCAGCAGGGACTGCCATATCAATAAGGAGGCACCGTTTTTGTTTATGGTCTTTAATAACAATATCTGGGCGGTTGGCTTTGATTGTTCTGTCAGTGTAGTCTCATAGAATTGTAACAGGTCCTATCTTCGTAACCGGGTCTGGGTGGTGTTCATACCAGTTTCTTTCAGTTTCCTTCCCGTAGAAGTTTCAGATTTTACAGTTCAGATATTGGCCCACTCTGTCACACCGGGTTTCATATTCTTTCGGTGCCAATATCGTGCAACCTGATACAAGATGATCAATTGTTTCTAGATATTTATCACAGAATCTGTATTTTGGGCTAACACAATTTTCCAGTGCGTTTGTGCTTGATAATTCCTAGTTAGCAAACATTGGTCTTGTACAGCAAGGATAAAACCCTCAGTTTCAGCTTTCAACCCTGCACTACGTAGCCACTGATGGGTATGAGTTTTGTCTACGTCAGCTT